GCTCTAAAAGGTCGACGAAGTATTATAATAACGACAAAGAAAACAAACCTACTACTAGCAGTAAATCCCTTTTGACTGTACAACCCCAACAAAGATCACCTCTCAAAGATGTTAACTTCAATACAGAGAATAGCAAGATACAAAATCTAAATAAACCCGAACTTGACAATCAAGAAAGAGTGAACAAGGGGAAAAACAAAACACAATCAACCAATTCAATACAACAAGAGACATTAACAGAGATCTTGAAAAAACTAACAAAAATTGAAAATGATTACGAGGTGATTCTGTTAGCAAGACCTAATTTATCCTGATTGGTGCCACAGTTGTTACTATGGATATAGGCAGTGTTACCGAAAGCCTGCCAAAAGCTAAAAATAGCTCTAACCGCAACTTAAATAGTAATAGCACGAGTAAAATAGAGAGGAACGAGATCAATAGTATCAGTTTAGATAGTACAAATAGGGAAAATACAGGAGAAAGCAAAAGGGGCTTGAATAAAAAATGGGAACAATCTGCATATAGTATTAAAAAAGGTTTTAAATCTGAAATCAAAATAGCGGTGCACAATATTAATGGCATCAAAAATAACAAACAGAAAATTGACTTACTGGCTAGCTGGTTAGAAGAAGAAGATATTGCGATTTGTGGTTTAACAGAAACAAATATCGCAGCAAAAGAAGGCAAATTTATGTTAGACAAAAATAGCAATTATAGCTCTATATGGTCAAATGCAAGCACTACCAAGAAGAAAGGTTCAGGTATAGGTCTTCTAATTAGAAAAGACTGGGAAAAATTCATTGGCAATATTCATTACATAAATGAATATCTGCTAGAAGTTAGCCTTTTCTTTAAACAGCTTACTCTAATCTTGTTGGTAACTTATATTCCACCGAACAACCAAGACGAGTCCAGAACAATTCAACAAAATATAATTAAGCGTTACATGAACAGACCACCAACAGCCCAGTATATAATAATAGGAGATTTTAATAACGTTGTTGATCAAACACTCGACAAAAGCAACTACAATGCAACACATAGCCAAAAACTTTTCCCTCTTCACAGATGGTTTCTAAATCAAAATTTTATAGATACTTTTAGATTTTTAAACCCAGATAAAAAAGAATTCACTTGGTCAAATAACAATGCGGCATCAAGAATAGATCAGATTTGGGTCTCAGAAGAACTAATAGCTGGACTCCTTCAAGCAAGTATTCATAGTATGCACTGGTGCACAAGGAGCGACCATAGTTTAGCCCTAATAGAGTTGCAAATTAGACATCTTAGAGCACAGTATAGTGCTGCACAAACGAGATCAAAAGTGTATACAAGGACAATATTCCAATATGATAAAGCAACTAAAGAAAATTGGAATGGCTATAGGGCTAGTCTAAAAGAAATACTTAAAAATAAGGGAATAAATGAGGCATCCTTTATCGCGACAGAAAATCAAGAAATTAACCTTGACAAAATTTGGGACAAGATAGTAAATAGTATAATCGAAGCGGCTACACTAAATATTCCCAAAAAGAAAATCCCAAATACCAATTTAAACACAAGGAAAAAAGTTAAAAAGTCCCAGTTACATGAAGCAACCACAGGTCTGAGCAAACTAATAGCGCAAGGAAAGAAAAAGCTGGGCATGAGTATAGATCCTCAATCAAGAAATCAAATAAATAGAACAATATGTCACTATAACAAAAATTTCCAAACGGACATACCAAAAGTAAGCCAAGAATGGTCACAGGACTGGTTAGAAGACTCCAAAGGCTGGTGGCATATACTATATAATAGACTATCAGTTGAGC